GACGTCGACCCACAGCAGCGCGGCGGTCGGGGTGGTGGAGCCGGGCCACGCCCGCTCCCTCACCTCGCGCGCCCACCCTCCAGCTGTGCACGGGGAGAGGAGAGGGGTGGAGGTGGAGGAGGGGGGGGGGGTGCGTGAGGGCACGGCGACGGGGTGGGGGGAGGGGTCAGCAGAGACGGCACGGGAGTGCGCGAGGGGTGCGCCAGCGAGGCCCTCGCAGCCACCGGCACGCGGCGCGCAGCGGTGCGAGCGGAAGCTTCGTGGAGGTGGCGCACACACCTGCATCTGAGTGGCGCCGAGCAGGGACGTGAGTCCCTCGGCGAGCTCCGTGACGGTGCGCTCGGGCGGCGCGGCGCTGTGGGCGGTCGGCGCCGCTTTGCGCACGCGCAGCGCAAACTTCGCAGGCGCGTACCACGTGTCGGGGTGGAAGGTGACGGAGCGGGGCTCCACCTCGACCTGCGGCGGCGGGAGGGCGGGGCGGGGGCGGGGGGGAGTGGAGCGAGGGGGCGGCGGTGAGGGGAGGGGCAGCAGAAGGAGGGAGAGGCGGCCGGCAGGGAGGGAGAAGCGCGGGAGGGAGGAGGGGCGGGGGCGCGGGAGAGGCAGCCCGGCGTCCACACCTGGACGGTCGGCGCGCCGCCGGCGCCGCCGTCGGCCGCGAGCGCGACGAGCGAGACGTTGACGGGCGCGGTGGGTCGGGCGGAGAGGGCGAGGTGGACGGGCGCGGCGAAGTACGCCCCCTCGCGCAGCACGAGCCGGTGGTTGGCCGCGTACGCGCTGGACCACATGCGGAGGGACGGCGGCGGCTCCGTGCGCTCCTCGCTCGGCGAGGCCGCGGCGCCCTTGAGCCGGAGGGAGCCGCTCGGGCGCGGGTCGATGTGAGGCCAGAGCGCCGCCGCGGCGGCGGGCTGCTCGTAGCGCTTGGTGTTGTTGTACGCGAGGGCGAGCTGGCCGAAGAAGTCGTCGCGGGGGTGGGCGCAGGTCGCGTAGCCGCCGTGCATCTGCCCGATGACGAGCCCGTCCTACAGCCGAGGCGTGGCCGAGCTCGCGCCGATGCTCGCCGCCTCTGCACCTGCGCGGCGCCTCGTCCGCTCCTGGTCGAAGAGCGGCGCGCCAGAGGAGCCGTGCGAGGAGGAGCCGACGTCGTACCTGTGGGCGGGCGGAGGCGTGGAGGCGCGCCGGTCGCCGCCGCCGCGGCCCTGCGAGGGCGAGCCGACGGCGCACCGCTTCACCTTCCACTCGTCCGTCCGCCAGCAGCGCTGGTCGGGCGACGTGCGGCCGCCGTCCTCGTCGCAGCAGCCGGGGCAGAAGAGGGACCGCTCGGGGGAGGAGAAGGAGATCGCAATCTTCTGCAGGTCGCCCGACGGGTGGTGGATCGAGGCGGTCGAGGCTGGCGCCTGCGGGAAGAAGCGGGGGGGGGGGGGGGGCTGATGCCGGTGCTCTGTCTCCACCTCACCGGTGTCAGCGAGCCGGCCAGCGCCGGCCGATTCTCGCGCGCAAATGCCCGACGTGGCTCGGCGGAACGCTTCCCCGGAGCCCCCCCCCCCCCCCCCCTTCTGGCACGTGCTTGAGGCCAGGGGGCTCGCGCAGCAGAGGGGCGGTGTGGGGAGGGGCGAGCGGCGCGCCGCCGGCTCCGCGTTCCACCCGTTGAGCCTCGCGCCAAAACCGGAGGGGAGCGGCTCCGCCAGCCGGAGCAGCGCCATGTCGGAGTCGTTGGCATACGAGACGAGGCGCGCGCCTGGAGGGCTCGGCGGGAAGGGCTCGGCGGGGGGCGGACGGAGGGCGGACGAGGGCGCACGGAGGGCGCACGGAGGGGGTTGGGGTTGGGAGGGGTGCGGGAGGCGTCGGGAGGGTGCAGCTGCGCGCGCCGTACGAGGCCTGCAGCCCGCCGCCTCGCCACGGGGCGGGGGGCTGGGGCGAAGCGCAGCCGGGCGAGCGCCAGTTGTAGATGACGGAGGCCTCCACGAAGGAGCCCGCCGCGCCCTCCGGCACGCCGCGCCGCACGCTGCGCTCCACGAAGCTGCGCACGCAGTGGAAGCCGGTGAGCAGTAGCGGCGGGTCCGAGGGCTGCCTGCTCTTCTCGTTGAGCAGCGAGCCCGTGCAGAGGCCGCCGTCGATGAGCAGCGCCACGACGCCGCGCGCCGCCTCCTCCCACTCCGGCACGCACGCGACGTCGACCATGCACGCTCCTCCCGCGCCGACGGCGGCGGCGAGCGGGCCCTCGGCTCTCGCGTCGTCGCCGGCGAAGGAGAAAGTCGCGTTGGAGGCGGACAGGCGGCCGGCCAGACGGCGGCGGTCAGAGGGCAGCGGGCGGGAGCCCTCCTCCTCCTCCCCCACCTCCTCCTCCGCGCCCGGGCCGCCAACCTCGAGAAACGGCAGGCGGAGGAAGGGGAGCAGCCCCGAGGCGCCGCGTGCGAGCAGTGAGGGAGGCGGCCCGCCGACGGAGGAGCGGCCGAAGAGGCTGCGCCACAGGCCGAGCGGGCCGTCCCCGGCCGACTCGTCCGCGGCGGGCGCGGAGTACGCGTCCGCGTCGCGCGCCTCGAGCGCCGCCGTCCCGAAGATTGGAGCCGTGCCGGCGACGATGGAGGCGAGCACGGGCGGAGGGCGGGGCGCCGCGGCCGCGGCGGCGGCGGGCGAGTGCAGCTCAATCACGAGGAGGCTGCCGGGCAGCGGCGGCGTCACGAGCGTGCCGGCGCGGGCGCCGCCCTCCACGGCACTCCGCCCGGTCCGGCGCAACGACTCGGCCGTCCACGCTCCCTGCGCGCCGACGCCGCGCTCGCCGTGCACAAAGAGCCGCTCGCCGGGCCGGAGCGCGAGCGCCTCCAGGCGCGCCGAGAGCCACGCACAGCCCGGCGGCCCGCGCACCGCAAGTCGGTGCACGGTCGAGCCGTCAGAGAGCGAGGCGGTCTCGTTGAGCGCGGCGCCAAGGTGGACGACGTGGTTGAGAGGCAGGCTGTCGTCTGCGGCGGCGGCGGCGGGTGGCGGCGGAGGAGGCGCTGGCGGGAGCTGTAGGGTCGGCGGGGGCGGGAGGCCGTGGCGGAGGGACGGGGCGAGACCGCGCGCCGCCTTCATGCGTGGCGGTGAAGCAGCGCGGTGAGGCAAGTCGCGCGAGCGATGTTTCGCTCCTTTGGGTGTGCGAAAAGAATTTTATCGAATTCGCGAGTGCGGTTGATAATAACGAGACGCTTCTTGAACGGCGCTTCACTTGAATGGCGTTCGCTTCGGCCGGCCTGCCGCCGCCGGCGCTCAACGCTGCCGCTGCCGAGGGCGCGGCGCGCGGCCGCGACGGCGCGCAAGAGGCCGATGATGGCCAGAGACTCGGCGTGAAGCGCCGCCTCGACGGCGAGCTCGCGAGCGCGCGCGTCAACGACGACGACGCCAAAGAAGGCGACACCATTATGGTGGACGCCGCACAGATGGCCGCTGCGGCGGCCGCCGGCACCGACCGCGGCACGAAGCGCCTGCTGCACGTCGCGCTCGCGGCGCGCGACGGCTCGCACATCCCGGACATCCAGAACACGACGGCGCTCGTCACCGAGATTCGACAGCTTCTGAGGAAGACGCCAGGCTGCGAGGCGCAGCCGGCGAGCGCGATCAGCGTGCCCGTCATCGGCACGTCGCGCGCCATCTGCGTCGCCTTCAGCGGCGAGAGCGAGGCACGTGCCTTCCTCGAGCAGTACGCCGGCGGTGGCGTCCTACAGCTCCCAGCGCCAGACAACATCACCATCACCTTCGCCGCTCTCGACGCCACCGTGTGGGGCAAGCAGGCGGAGGCGCGCGAGACCCAGGCGACCATCGACTCCGACGGCCTCCTCGCCATACGCACGCGCGGCGCCATCAACACCGCGGCCCAGATCGAGCACTTCGCCCCCCTCTTGGAGAAGCACTTCGGCAACGTGGTCTCCATCCAGGAGGGATACCACTCCTTCCTCGGCACGAAGTCGGACGAGAAGGACGGCTCGATCCTCTTCAAGGTGAAGAACGAGAACCTCGTCTGCAACCTCCCTGTCCTGCCCAACGTCTACGCGAGCGGCGATGTCGGCGGACCCCTCCGCCTCGACGTCGGGAGTGTGAAGGTGCTCGGGAACAAGCTTTGCCCATCGTGCCGCGCCTTTGCGACGACGAGCGCCGACATCATCCACGACGCGCAGTGCGGCGCGCAGGCGCTCAAGGAGAGGCGCGCCGCAGCGGCGAACGTCGCCAAGAAGAAGACCTTCGAGAGCCTCATCGTCGACAACAGGGTCGAGGTCGCGCGCGCGGCGGGCAAGGCCAAGGCGATGGCGGTGCGCGACGGGATCGGCTTCTGCCCGGCCTTCAACCAGACCGCCATCCCGTGCAAGACCGCCGCTCGCTGCCGCTACGCGCCGTGCGTCAACTTCGAGGCGCTCCTCCACTCCGCCTTCAAGGACACTATCTACGAGCGCATGCCGAGCGCGGTCAGGCTGGGCACAAGCCGCGGGCGGCGCGGGCGCGGCGGCCGCGGCGGCGGCGGCGGCGGCGGCGAGGTCAAGAGCAACAAGAAGAACTGGGCGAGCGTCGCCCGCGGAGCCGCCCGCTCCTCCTCCGACGGCGGCCCACTCCTCGAGTCCAACGAGCCCTCCCTCTACGAGGGGAGCGACGAGGATTTCTAGGAACGGCCGCCGAGCCCTTCCCGCAGCGCAACCCTAGCAGCGCAGCGGGCAGGGCGGCTCGCGCAGCGCGCGCGCGACCGCGCACGCGCGCGCGCGAGCGAGCGAGCGAGCACACACACACACACACACACACACACACACACACACACACACACACACACACACACACACACACACACACACACACACACACACACACACACACACACACACACACACACACATGTTGTACACATGCACAGACACACAGCCCCTTCCCCTTCCTCAAGGGCGAGGACACGCGCAGGGGTCGCACTTCTAGCGAGGCCCACAGAGTGGGAGACTCCTATCACCGCCACTGCCACCCACGTGTCAGTCTGCCTGTGGTAGAAGAGACTGCCGGTGAGACGTCGGAGGAAGGTCGCTAGTCGAGAGAGATCGCCAGTGGATAGGGAGTCCACCGTGCTGCGAGCCTGTCGCTGTCCCTTGTCAGGAGCAGGAGAACTAGGAGAGCGCAACCAGTAGGAGGCCCGCGCTTGCCCCCGTGCCGCCGGGTGCAACCTGTCCTATACGAGAGATGGGATTCCTGTCGTGAGGGTGAACCCCCTGCCCAGCCCCCCGCCGTGTCGCGATGCGCTCCCCGCTCCCGTTCCCCTGTGTCCCTGATCGTCCTACAAGATCCTGCTTGTGCAGGTGGGGACCCTGTCCTTCTCCCACCCCTCGTTTGGCGTGTCCGTTGTATTTATTTATTTATTGATAATAACGGCGGCGTGCCGTCCTCCCATCCCTCCCTTGGGTTGTCTGTTTTCTTTCTTTCTTTCTTTGATAATAACGCCCAAGGGTGGGCGAGGGCTAGCGCATCACACCCCTCTCCTTAAAATCCCTGTGTGGTGGCGGCGTGCCGTCCTCCCATCCCTCCCTTGGGTTGTCCGTTTTCTTTCTTTCTTTCTTTCTGATAATAACTGCAAGTTACTAGCTCACACATCGGCACACCGCAAAAAGAGGGGAGAGGTGCCAGGAGACAGTGGACCATGCATAAATCTCTCCCGTCCCGGATTCGCCTCGCCACTCTCGGATACGTTCGTAGGTGGCGAACAGGCACGTGGGCGACGCGGCTACACAGAGCCTTGCACCCTTTCTCCCTTCTCATCACTGCCCCGGGGCCCACACCTCGATCTTCTTGGGCAGCCGCTGGATCTTCTCGTCGCCGTGGCCCAACTGGCCAGAGGCTCCAAGGCCCCAGCTCCAGAAGCTGCCGTCGGCGGTGATGGCGAGGCTGTGCAGACCTCCAGCCGACACAGCGACGACGCGCTGCCCCGCCAAGGCTTCGATCTTCTTCGGCAGCTGGAGCTGCAGGTTGCCGTGGCCCAGCTTGCCATAGCTTCCATAGCCCCAGCTCCAGGCGGCACCGTCGGCGGCGAGGGCGAGGTTGTGCGCGTGTCCAGCCGACACAGCGATCACGCGCCGCCCCACCAAGGCCTCGATCTTCTTCGGCAGTAGCTGTTGCTGCTGGTTGCTGTGGCCCAACTGGCCTTCGCGTCCACGCCCCCAGCTCCAGACAGCGCCGTTGGCGGTGAGGGCGAGGCTGTGGTTGGCTCCAGTCGACACAGCGACAACGCGCTGCCCCGCCAAAGCTTCGATCTTCTTGGGCAGCAGCTGGTTCTGCGTGTTGCCGTGCCCGAGCTCGGCGCCTCCATTGCCCCAGCTCCAGATAGCGCCGTCCGCGGTGATGGCGAGGTTGTGGAATGACTTAGCCGACACAGCGACGACGCGCTGGCCAGCAAAGCCCTCGATCTTCGTGGGCAGCAGCTGTTGTTGCTCGTCGCCGTGGCCCAGCTTGCCATAGCGCCCAAAGCCCCAGCTCCAGACGGCACCGTCGGCGGTGAGGGCGAGGCTGTGACTTTCTCCCGAGACAGCGACGACGTGCTGGCCAGCTAAGGCCTCGACCTGCTTGGGCAGCAGCTGGTTCTGCTGGTCGCCGTGGCCCAGCTCGCCAAAGCCTCCACTGCCCCAGCTCCAGACAGCGCCGCCGGCGGTGAGGGCCAAGCTGTGCGCGTCTCCGGCCGACACACTCACGGCGCGCTCGCCGCCCAGCGTGGACGGGAGGCGGGTCGGCGTGTTGAGCCGCAGCACGCCCTCGCCGTGGCCAAGGAGGCCTGGAAGTAACTCCTCGTCCTCGTCCTCGTCGTCCTCCGCGCCTTCCAAAGCCGAGCCGCACGACGAGAGCCGCCCCTCGCCGTCGATGAAGACGCTGTGCCGATCGCCTGCCGCCGCCCTCGCCGGCGGGTTGGACTCGCGCAGCAAGGCATAGAAGCACAGCCACCGCACGGCGCAGACCTCGCCCTCTGGCTGCGCCGGCAGCTCGAAGCCGCGCTCTTGCGCCCACAAGCGGATGGCCTCCACCGCAAGCGAGGCGTGGAAGAGCAGCGAGACGGCTGCGACGCGAGCGATGTCAGCGGGGCTGTGGCAGCGAGAGAGGACGCGCTCGAGGAGCTCCGTGGGGAGGTCGAGGAGGCGGGTGGGCGGCGGCGTGTCTGGCGAGGGATCGGCTGCGGTGGCGGCGGCGGCGCTGTGGCGAGGCGGCGGGAGCGGCGCGGTGTCGGACATCGTAAAAAAGAAAAGAAATACCCGGACTGCAGATCGTTACGGAAAAGCATGCGCGACGCTGCCTCTTTGCACTGCTCGCTCGCGGCTGCGGGAGACATGGCCGCCGATGCGGCTCGCACTCGCTCGGCGGGCCTCCGTCCCACAGCCGCCCGGGCGTGCCACGGGTCTGCCTGGCGCTGCGCTGCTCGCACGCTGCACTGCACAAAGCTGCGACAACAAGGGGAGGCTCCTGAGCTTGAGCGTGGAGCAGTGCAGCTGCGGGCGCTCGTGGGCGGCTGTGCAGTGGTGAGAGTGCCTGATTGGAGGCGAGCTGGTGCTGCGCCAGGGTGCGCAGCATGCGCTCTTGCTCTGTGCTGAGGCATGCTGGCTGGCGCCCAACACAATGCCCTGGATGCATTGCTCCACGCCGTGCTGGCTGGTGCAGCACTGCCAGTGCGCCGACTGGCGCGCAGGGTGCGCGTCGCCGCGCGTGGCACGGGTGGCTCGAGAGGCGCGGCTGTCGTTCAACCCCGCGGCGCATGTGCGCCGCGGAAGCTGCTCGACAGGCTGCGGGCATCGCTGCGGCAGAAAGCGCCCGCCCTCTGCTTTGCTTTCGCCCGCGTTTTACGACAACTTTCGGTTTATCATAGCCGCCGAACTTTACCTCGCTGTTTCTTTATAGGCGTCTCGCAGCTGCGTATTCTCGTATTATCTTCGAGTAGTTGCGTGGGGGCGGTATGTATTCTCGTATCAGTAGTTAGTGTCGTGTCCACTAGCTCCGAGTAGAGGGGGCGCTCCGCTGCTAGGGGAAACCTGGAGCGCGGACTAACCCTCGGAGAGTATTCTTTAGCTCCGAGTAGAGGGGGCGTTCTGCTGCTAGGGGAAACCCGGAGCGCGGAACTAACCCTCGG